CACAACCACAAACACACAACCACAAGCACACAACCACAAACACACAACCACAAACACAACCACAAACACACAACCACAAACACAACCACAAACACACAACCACAAACACAAAACCACAAACACAAAACCACAAACACAAAACCACAAACACACAACCGCAAACACACAACACAGCACACAACCACAAACACAGCACACAACCACAGCACACAACCCGAGGACCTACACGCAAAATCGAGAACTACAATACTCACGACCATGGCAACATGCTCCTCACTCTGGCATCAAGACAAATGATTGAAATGTTATGGCGGGGATCACTCGAAGTAAGCTAACTTTTTGTGCGTTTTCATTAGTTATCCTGCTCTAATCGGCCAAGATATCCTTTTACTGCCAATCAAGCTCACCTGGCAACATACTGTATCGATTTTCAGAGCCACTCCCAGGTGCTGTTGGCCTTGCTTGCTGCTTGGGCGTCTATGGATTTGTGCTTAGTAAGCACTTCGAATGTCTTGCTGATCGGAAACCCCGGCACTGGCAAGAGCACTATCCTGAACGGCTTGATCGGCAAACCGGCTTTCAGATCCGGCGTGTCCTACGGCAGTGGCCTCACCTACCAGTTTGACAAGGTAGAAGAAGGAGGAATTCGGTATATGGACACCCCGGGCCTTTCAGACGCCTGGATTTGCTTTAGGGCATAATTTGGGACCAGTTTTCTGAGACCACCACAATTTCAAGAGACCACAAATGAGTGGGATTTGCTGTGCTGGTTTGTTTAACAGTAATCAACAGTTAAGCCTTCAATGTCCAGGATGTCACTATGCGTCAGAAGGCAGCAGATGCTATCACTGAAGCGCTCAAGCAAGAAGGCACGTACAAGATCTTCTTTGTAGTGGTGCTTCAGAATGGCCGTGTGCGGGCCGAGGATATTGCTACAATGTCATCAGTTCTCAAGGCAGCGCCCATTAACGGCACCGACTATGGCCTGATCACAAACCAGCTCCCTCCCCGCGAATTCAAAGATCTTCAGTCACTACCAGATGTGGCGCAAGAAGTGCTTGGCAGTATTTGGTGTACCATGCCCGAAAAGGCAACTCCCCATGTCCACTTTTTGCCGCGCGACGATGAGCTGGAAGGAGCAGACGATGTGGTGAAGCCTTTGCCCAAGGATTGTGTTGACTTCATAGATATGACACCTGGCGTGGAGATCAAGGGCGAAGAAGTGAAACAGGTCCAGGCTGACGGGTATGAAGAGCAAGTGACGCAGCTTGAACAGAAGCTCTCCGACTTGTTGAGGGACAAGGAAGCGATGCAAGCTCAGATGAGAGAAGCTTTCAAGGGCAGAGAGAAGGAGACGGCGAAGGCGATGAGCAAGATGTTGGGAATTCAACGGGATATTTTCCTGAACATGTTTAAAGCTGCGCAGCCTGCGCAGCGAATGCCAGACCTAGTCAAAGATGTTGCCCTTGTCAGCTTGGCGTTCAAGTTTTTTGCCCGTTGAATTATTGTCTCACAGAAGTGAGGCCGGTTAGTTAAAGGCTTACGCCTAACAGCCGGGCGCCGGCCCACTTGGGTCTGTGTAGGGCTGGGTCGGGTGCACGTTAAGCTATCGGGGGCGTACTGGGCCCTGGGTGGTGCCGGAAACTGGTCCGCGTCGGAGACGGGGGCCCTATATTGAGCAAAGTTAAGCTATCTGGTGCGCATCTTGGCCCTAGGTTGGGCCAAGTGGGGCCCATGTGATCTATGTTGGGCACATCTTGGGCCCATGTTGAGCCTATGTTGAGCCTATGTTGGCCTATGTTAGGCCTATGTTTGCCCAGGTTGGGCCTATGTTGGGCCTATGTTGGCCCCATGTTGGCCTATGTTGGCCCTATGTTGAGCCATCTTGGAGGCTATGTTGGGCATATGTTGGGGATATGTTGGCTATCTTGGGCCTATGTTGAGGATATGTTAGGCAATGTAAGTCGTCTGGAGGGCCTCTACCCACAAAATGTCGATTAAGCCTGTCCGCCCGGCGCGCATTACCGACACCGCCCTTGAAAAACACAGCTTTTTGCATTTTTTCCTTTTCCCCGCGTCGTACTTCGATATGCGCAATAAACCCTGTAAAACACAGTGTTTTTATACCTCACACACACACGATACACTGTAAATTACAGCGACTTCAGTGAACAGGAAGTGACGAGGGGGTCCGCCCGTTTTTCGTGGCGAGGGTCGGCGGCGGGGGGGCGACCGTCTATAACCTTCGGTAACCTTCGGTTATACCACCGAAGGCCCTCCGGGCAGGGCACGGGCTTCGTGGCCGTCGCCCGGATTTAAAGGCTTACGCCTGACAGCCGGGCGCCGGCGCACTTGGGTAAGAGAGGTGTGGGTCGAGGTGACGGTAGGTGTCGCTCGCGGTGTTGGCGGGGTGTGGTGTCGGTCAGGGACCCGCCATGTTTCCACGGAGTCTTCCATGGAGAAGACGGGGGCCGGGGTTTGGGGCACCCGGCAGCACCCGTCCGCGGGACGGGGGCTGACTGCCCTGGTTGCTTGCAGCAACCAAAAGTCGGGAGAGCCGTCGGAGAGAGAGGAGGCACGTGGAGCGCGATGCATGCTGGGAGGCGGCAGCTGTCAGCTGGCAACAAGAGCGTCGCTCATGCCAGCCAGCCACAGCCCTGGTGAGGAGAGGCAGACGTCATTTCACCCTCAAGGACATTGTCTGCAAGTTGATGCGCCAGCGAGGCCGGCGGGGGTGGAGAGGTTGGGGGTCGAGGCGTCGACGCCGCAAGTTGGAGACGCAGGGTGGCAAAGGACTTAGACAGCATGCCACAGAGAGTAGTTAGCAAGAAACAGTCGACGCCGGAAAGGGGACAAACAGTCGACACCGGAAAGGGGACAGATAGAGAGACTGGCGAGACGTGGGCTCAACAACAGGCGGGCCTGTGAACAGAGCAAGAGCATGTGCAAGCCAGAAACAGCCTCCAACCCAAAGACACCAGAAGCAACCAGCGCTGAACTCCCAGAGTGATAGGACGGCAAAGAGTAGAGCGCAAGAGAAGCTAGGAGACTGCTAGGGTTAGAGAGCAACAGCAACCAAGCACACCGGACCTTTTTTTGCTTTTTGTGTTCGGTTTCAGCAGGGGGGCGTGTGAGCAGGGCAGGAGCACGTGCAAGGCAGAGCAACAAAGCCCCCAACGCCAAGACACCAGAAGCAAGCAGCGTCGAACTCTGAGAGTCAGAGGACGAAGCTAGGAGACCGCTAGCGTAGGAGAGCAAGAGCAACCAAGCACACGCGACCTTTTTTTTCCTGTTGGTCTCAGCCATGGTGCGCGCGATGCACCGAGTGAGTCACAGCTTCGTAGCAAACAAGGAGAACTCTCTCCACTCTGAAAACTGGAGTGCAAAGCAGATCGACCTCACCCGGTGGAATCCCCTTAGGCAACACACACATATATATATATATTATAGTTCTACGTCAAACTCATGTCTGCAGAAGTTACTGGTGTCAGTCACCTGCACCCAAAGCAAACGCAGCACCGCCGGCGTGCCAAAACCAAGGCCAGCGCAGAGAAACGCGCAGACCGACTAAAACGGATGCGTGCCGGGGATGGAGGTGACACGTTTGTGCCTCGTCCGCTCGTTGTCGCTGGGATGGATGTTACGTGTCTGTTCCTCGTCCGCTCGTGGTCGCTAGTCTTTTCGGCGCCGGGTCGGGTGCGTGCGTGGTGCGCGCGCGCTTGCAGCTGTGTGGTCACGCGCGCAGTGTCCGGCGGACGTGCGTGTGGAGCAGAAGTGGAGAATGTGAGTTTGTGCACACGGCTCTAGCCAGCGCACGCATATACACGAGACACATGGCATCGCACTCTAAGCAGTGGTAACGGGAGAAGACAGACACCATACAGAGGTTGGAGTAGGTACATGGTGCTACAACCCAGTCGTAAGAAGCAGATGCAAAAGAATCTGGAGACTGTTTCTTTCGAGTGATTTTCTGTGTTGCGTCGTTCCAAAGTGAGCGGCGCCAGCGCCTGATGTCGACGCATACACATTGGACTCGGACTCTACCCAGTCGCTGGTTCCTGTGCACTTGGCTTCTAGCTAGCAGCTGTGCTATCTTGTGTAGTTCTGCAAGACACCTGGACCCATTCTTTTGCATCAACCTCTGCGGTTGTGTCTTCAGCCTGCAAGCACGACGTGCACTCCGAGCTACTTCGTGCAAGCAAGGCTGGATCCAGAAGAGTCGCTCCGCAGGCGGTCGGCGCTGCAAAGGACATCGCCGACAGAAGGCCCGGAGAAGGTTGCGCGCAGCGCTGCAAATGTGTGGCTGGATTTGGTTGTTGGTCTGCGGATGTCGCGGCTCCTCGGTGACCCCAGTGGGCTATCAAGCGGCACGCTTAGGCAACGCCCGAGGGGAGCCAGCAAGAGGGCGACGCAGGCGAAAGCCGCGCACTGCGAAGGGCAAGGTGGTGCGGCAGAGCGAAATGCGGGCCTACTTCCTGCTCGTGCCGGGCGAGGGCGGGTGTCTGTTCTACACCGTGAGCACGGAGGTCAGTGGCGGGCAGAAGTGGGAACTTAGTTTTCGCTGTGCCGAGCAACTGGACGTCGTGTGTTGTGTTGATCTCTGCGGGTGTATGGCTTCCGCCTGCAAACCCGGCGAGACGTGCGAAAAGGGTGTCCCCAAGCCCAGACGGCGCCGAGATGGTACCTACCTCGAAAGGTCCGAAATCGAGAGCAGCATGCCGTGAACGGCAATCCTGAAGCCGCCGAGACGCTGCAAGCGCGAATTCGGTCGAATGTTGTGCACATGCCGGGAGACGGTTGGTGCTTCTTCTACGCCGTGAGCCGGTACTTCAAAGGCAGCACACACTCGGGCCACGGCACAGCCGCCGAAATCTATTTGCAAGCCATTGAGTGGTTGTTGGCGGCCCAGCACGGGCCGCGCGCAGACGCAGTCGCAACGGCGTGTGTCCCGTTCGACGACGACGAATTGCAGCTGCATGAGCACTTCCGTCGACAACAGCCGACGGCCGTCAAGACTGCGCCCTCGAACACGACTGAAGTAGTCTTACTCAGTAAGCTCCATGCAGTGTTGCTCCAGCCGGACATGTTAGACTCGATCCACCACGCTTCTGCCGGTGTGGAGTTGTGGGCTTTGACCCAAACTGTTCGATTTTGAGTGTCTCATTTGGGGTGCCCAAGCGAATGTGAATTACTGGGTTCGGTCTATATGGAGTGCCTCACCGACCAGGAAGCGCATGCAAAGTTGCAACACCATAGCCCCATGTTGGAGCTCGTACATCGAGACATGGGTGTCACCGGCCACTACGACTTGGTGGAACGTAGCCAGAACATCGGCGACCCCTTCCCAAGCACGCCTTTAGTTGAAGCTTTTCGCGCACAGGGTGCCAGAGCCGTCTTAGAAGTAGTCCAACAGCTGCTGGGGGCTGCTCAACCTCCGTTGCCGGCGCCACAGGCACCCCCCCCCGAGGACCGAAGCACACCACAACCATCAACACGGAGCTCAGCTTCGCCAGTGGCGAGAGCGTCGCTCATGTCAGCGACTGACCCTCCGTGTAATGACTCACAAATCTCTGTGGAGACACTCCACAGCTCGCAGGTATCTGGCGACAGTGAGACTTTCGTTCCAGCCTATTTCGTATCGCCAAAACAAAACCAGAGCTCGATCCTGTTTCAGGCTACCCCACTTCGACAGCAACGGCTGAACGACTCCGAGAGGAAAGAAAAAAGGAGCGAATGTGCTTTTCCTTGTGCTTTTTCATGTGAATGTGGAATGCAGCTGTCTTGTGATGTGCGCTTTCGTGTCTTTCTTGCATGCGCGACACATTTCGCGCCAAGACGCAGTAAACCACAAACAGACAAACAATTACAAACCAAGCGTGCCAGAACAGAGGTTTACGCGGGGCCTGGGACATGGGGCACCCCTGCCGTCTTGTGTTCTTGTGTATGTGGAGTGCAACTGTCTTGCGGTGTGCGCTTTCGTATTTTCGTAGCATGTGCGACACATTTCGTAGTAAGACGCAGTAAACCACAGACAGACAAACAACGACAAACGACACAGGTTGTAGTAAGACGCAGTAAACCACAGACAGACAAACAACGACAAACAAAGCGTGCCAGCGCAGAGGTTTGCGCGGGGGCTGGGACACGGGGCATCCCAGCAGCGTCCTCCAAACTGGAGGAGGCTGACTGCCCTGGCTTCTCTGAAAAGAAGCCGAAAGTCGGGAGAGCCGTTGCAACCGAAAACTCGTCCACCATCTCGCTCCTCCCTCTGCTCGCGTGCTAGTGCCCCAGCGTCGACTACGTATGAAAATCTTACAGCCAGGTTGGGTCGCCTCTCTGTGTTGTCTCTTTCTCCGTCTCGGTCTCGGTCGGTCTCTGTCTCTGTCTCGCTCTCGCTCATTCTCTGTCTCTGTGTTCTCTGTCTCTGTCTCTGTCTGTTGGCCTTGGTGGGACCTATATTGAGCAAAATGAAACTATGTGGTGCACGGTGCACATCTTCGC